GCTCTCAACCCGTCCTTCGTATGTACCCTATATCTTTCATATGTTTCTGCCTCGTCCATTCTTGCCATTGTGACTAAATGTTTGTCCATTTTAGAATGTGATGCTATCGGTATAACTAATGTGCTCTCAATTTGTGTACAATACGAAAGATTTATATACGAAGCATTCGACCAGAAGCTAATGCGGTGGAAATTATGCATATTCAAAGTTGTAAATCTTTTAAATTGAAACAGTAAATCTTTTAATTGCATTACAACTAGGTATGCAAATACCTAAGGTAAATTGACCATTGACGACTTTAGATGCGAGCTCTAATTAAGTATACATCGCCTCGAATCGATTGATATTTTGAGCTATTGAAACTTTGGTCTCGAGCGTTTCCGTTTATTGTTGTTTGTGTAAACAAGTCCTGGCCTGTTTTGATATCAACAAACGTGATACCAATTTCGTGCGTTCACGCATTTGTGTGTCATATTTCTTTTTCATTTAACAGAGGGAGGTGTAAAAGGGGAGGATTGAGATATACGAGCAAGATAAACACGTGGCTGTTCAAAATCAGGACTGGTAACTTGTTTGTCGTTGTCTTCTGCAATTTACGAATGTTGTTTATCATTTAAGAAATGTAGTAATTAATTTATGACAAATCCTTGATAGTATACGTTCAACCAAATTTACAACTATGCTGGACACGGAACGATAGTTAATACTTGTCATATTGGGTAGACACTTACTCTTTTTTTTAAAGACGGTTTTCTAACTCGAGATGTCATTTTATTATATGTTACGCTGGGTTGTTGTCGCATTACTGGTTATCCGAAAGTTCATTTTATTCATTAGAGGTTAATCGAAAATTGTATGTGACCCATATTTTTACAATTGTAAAAGGATAATTGATTTAAATTTAAATGCTATGCCTATCATCACAGTAGGTATAGTGTCCGGCTGGGATCTCATTTTTTACAAGTAAATCGGTCCATATTTTTTTTTAGTGTAGAATTTTTTTTTTCGATTGATATTACATACGATCAAACCGATTTACTGACATTTTGCATGGATAATAGTTTTATTCGTGACTGTTTATCTTATTCTGAATACTATACATGTTTTGAGCACAAACGACCTACATTTTCCTTGTATTTCACGTATAATAATTCAGTGTTTTACATTGTCCGGGGTTTTAAGAGAGCAACATTTAACGCTGGTTTTTTTTTTAACAAATGGTCCGATTTTTTAAATGAAAAATTGAAAAAGAAAGAAGGCATTCTTTTCCTCGTTTTTAACTGTAATTTAGTGAAGAAAAATGTTATATATATTTCCAATAAGTCAAAACAAAAATACTACTATGTTGATCAAATTTAAACCTATGCAATAAAATGCTAATGTTCTGGTCTGAAAACATTTTACCATAACCTTGCAGTATTAAGATATGATAAGAAATCACTGGATCCTCTATGAAATGGTATTTAGAACCGATAACTGGGGACTCATAATCTTTTAAATTTCATTTCGATTTCGTTACATCTTTGTTTTAACATTCAATAATAACATAATTGATATACATTAAAGTGTTGAACCATGGAGTTTTAAAAATAGAGCTAAGAAAACTAAGGGACAGCAGTAAAAAAATTGAATATTGCAATATAAACACAAATATGCTACTAAAAGAGGCATTGAGCCAACCACCCCTCTCCCATTAAAAAATGCAATAACACAAACAAACAAAAACTTTATCTACCCCTGTACTATTTCCCATTGAAAATGCTATAAAATTATATGTTACTTCTGTCTATATTCGGCGAACCGCAAAGGGTAGTGTTGGAAGTATTTGAAAATATTTCTGTTTTCATTTGCCTTTACAGAATTTTTATGTAAGTATAGATTATTACATGGCATTTTTCATATCAGACCCTTTATCGGCCCTAGGTTGTGATATTAGCCCAAGAGCCGCAGGCTCGAGGGCTGATATCATGAACGAGGGCCGATAAAGGGTCTGATATGAAAAATGACATGTAATTATCTTTTTATCATATACTTCCACCTTTCCTGTGATTGTTGCCCCCGAAAACATGTGCATAGTTTTTCCTTTAAATTGTCATGGACAATTTCTGGCATCTCATTTATGTCTTTCAAAACATGTTTAATCTTAATTCATTTTTGCTCCTCAATCATTTTGTGAAAAGTCTTAAATCACTTGCGGTTTTCCGCGCTGTGTTGTCGTTTTCTAACAAATTTCCGAAAATGCACGAAGTTGCATGTGATAAACGTCACGGACATTAACGGAAATGCATGTGATAACATTCCGGAAGCAGTCAATAAAGGTTCGTTTATCAGCCCGCCAAGGAAATTCTTAGGAATCTGGTCAATAAACATAGTAATCCTTTTATAGCCTTTTAGTATTTTTAAATGTTATTGAACTGTAAAATTTAAGTAATATTTTATACAAGTATGTGATAAATATAGATTATAACATGGCCTTTTTCATATCACACCCCTTATCAGCCCTAGGTCATGTTATCAGCCCGAGAGCCGACAGGCTCGAGGGATGATTTTGACCATGGGCTGATAAGGGGTCTGATATGAAAAACGACATGTTATGTTCTTTTTATCATATACTTCAGCAGAAGACATACAGACAAAACTATCTTTAAAACTTTGAAACAATGCATTTGTTGTAATATTTGTTTTGTATTTTTTAATAATATATTTTCCTGATTATTAATATTTTCTTTTTCTCCAACTTTGTTATGTTTTACTAAAAAAAAACGTACCATTTAGGTACATTTTCCGGAATTTGCCGAATGACGTCGAACTGTCATGCGATAACGTTACAGAAAAGCATGCGATAATAACCGGAAGCAGTTGATAAACCGGAAGCAGTTGATAACAAAAGTCATACCACACGGCTAAGGCAATTCTTCAAATTTAATGAATAAATATATGTACAAATAAGTTTTATCATGGGGTACAATTATACCATTATTTTCTTTAAGTATAATATGATAAACCCAGATATTGCCCAGTGTTTTTAACAACATCATAAACGACGTTGTAATGTCTAGACAGCAATCCATATTTTTCATTTTTAAACACTTCTTTTTGTAAAGGTAGCTACCTTGTGCTTTATTGCTGGGTGATCAAGTATAACATACGCTTAATTAGACTCCTCTTCACAGTAGTAGCATTTGAATATTGTTCATTTTTAGAACGATAAAAAAAAAAAAAATTACCGTCAAGACAAAAAGTAAATGAAACATTTAGGATGAATTTTCTGTTCCAACACATATATATACTAGCTTAACACACTATACATGTATGTACGTACGTCTCAATTCAACAAGTCTGTGCTTACATAAAGATTGCTAACATCACGAATATATTGTTCAAATCACGTAAATTTACTATTGGAATCGACATCATATACGTATGTTTGGATCGATACAGCATGTTTACTTCGGCGTTGACTGACTATCCAAAAATATGTATGCCGGTGTCCATGCAATCGATAAGATGTGCTAATATATACAAATGAACGATGTTTATTATAGGATTAAACACATTTTTGCTAGAGGTTATTGATGTGTAAACTGGGGCGATTAACTCACAAACTGAATAAAAGTCCGAATTTATGTGTAAACTGCGGCGATTAACTCACAAACCGAAGGACTTTTATGTAAAGTTTGTGAGTTAATCGCCCCAGTTTACACATCAATAACCTCTAGAAAAAATATGTTTAAATTTTAATCTTAAACTGGGACGATTAACTCACAAACTGAATAAAAGTCCGAAGGACTTTTATGTAAAGTTTGTGAGTCAGCAACTCAGTTTACACATCAATAACCTCTAGAAAAAATGTGTATAATCCTTATAATTCTTGACCCAAACATTTGCAATTTTTAATTATCAATTTTTGGTACATTGGCTACTATTTACCATCAAATGCACAATTGACATTTCGTAACTAGGGAGTAAGCCGCCATATTGACTTTCTTAAATCTATTAAATGTTCGATTAATGCAATAGAATCTAAAATGAAATAACACCTACCTCAAAAACTTCATTTTAATGAAATATTATTTAAATTTGAAGCGTACAAAAAACGGAATAATCTTCATCTTGAGAGTTTTCATTCGTATGACGTCAAGCTTTTCCATGACGTTAATGCGCCAAGCTCATTCAAGAAATTTCGCGGAATTTTATTTTATTGTAAATTTATACATTTTCCAAGCTTAAATGCATTAATTCTTTTTATTATTCATTAGAATAGAAATAACAGTTATGTATTTGATCCCATGCATCTGTATCGCGCACAAATAGATCACAATGAAGGTTACGAAAATAGTTTCGGCAACATGGTCTTTCGAAGTGTAAACCAAGGAAAAAAATGCTAACGGACCAATCCAATTCAAGTATTTGTAGATATGCAAATCATATAATCGTAAATGCACAGGCATATAACATTTTAAGACATACGATTTTTTTCACTCGATAATACCTGAACCGCACACGAAAACATCGAACTGCTCTCGAAAAAACCCGGATATATACAAATGATTTTTTTTCAAAATGTTCTTATGAATGCAATAACAAGAGTTTTTATAACGTGTCTATATATTTAAGGATAAATACATGCCATGTATGCATTCTCTCTGACACTTGAATTGGTATGTATATAAAAACGGGTTAACTCCATATTTTGGAATGTGGTAAGACTAAATTAAACTTTTATAACACAAAATAATGTAGGGTTGATAATATCTTTTAAACAAAAAATACTACCTTACCTTGTATGGTGTTGTATATTAAGTATAAGCATCAAGTTTACATTTTTACCAGAAAAGACATCTGGTTGTTGACAGTTTTGATCGTATTTACTCGAAAAAACGTGGTCACACTCGAAAAAAACCCGATCAAATCACTCGAAAAAACACGATCCCAGCCGGACAATATGCCTACTGTGATCATAATATTACGTACGTCATTCATGTTTTGTCTTTGATTTTATTTTAAATGATTGGTATTTCCAGTTTCTTTTTTCAATTTAAATTCGCAAAAGAAATTAATATGAAATGAAACCAATATCTTAAGTTAGAATACTTCAAAATTATGATTTATCGCCGACAGAATTTGTTTTATTGTTTTGTGTTAATTTCTTTCTTGGACTCTATTTGCTGTAATTACAATAAATGGCCTTCGTATGAGAAAAACGGGAAAGTGTGTTTTTACTGTGGACCTGGTTTCCATTCGGTTGGCGACTGTTTGGTGAGTACAATTTCCTTTTAGATAAATATTAATAATATATAATATCTACCTTTATTAGTTCAAATCAGGAAGTATGTATATAAATGATATGATTTTTGAACATGACCCAAAATTCTTTTGTTAAAATGATATGTTTTAATCTAGATCATAATGATATTGCATTGCAAGGTATTTAAATTTATAATAATGTGTTGAGTCGTGACCATAGTTTCTTTGGGCAAAATATTTGGAGAAAACAAGTCTAATTTTTCTTGTCATTTTTTCTCAACTTCTAGATTTTATTATATATCATGTATACACAACTTTAATTGAAAGCTGAAATGATTTTTCGATGATTAAAATTACGTAATTTAGGCCGATCGTGTAAGGGTTCTGAAGACTTGACTTTTAACCAAGTTAGCAAAGCAGCAATTTACTAATTTGCACTTGCCTCAAGTATCTCATGCCTTTGATATATGTTTATTTAATTTTTTCAGTGGAGTAGGAGTACACTGAAATGGCGGGAAGGGAGAGGGGCAAACTGCTGAAAGTGGCAAGCAAAAATTAAACAAAATATCTATAGTCTAGAAGTTAGTCAGCGTCCTTTTAATTTTTTTGGGGGCCTGACATAGTTTTGAAAGGAGGGGTGGGGGATTTCTCAAACGACAATAGTCCCTATCGTAGGTCCGGAAATGTATAAGTGGGGAAAATTCGTAAACGTTTAGTCGTAAGAACCTAGTGTCTTTATCATTGGACTCCAAGACAAGAAGATAAAAAGCAAAGCTAGATGAAGGTAATTTTTGTCAATAAAACCATTGTTCATTAAAACATATCTTGAAACCGTGTACTGTTGGATTAAGGAAGATATTTGATATCAATGGGAACAAAGTTCATTTCAAGTTCCAAAAGTGACTTCTGTTGACAAAATTTCCTTGAAATCATACATTTTTTTTTCAGTAGAGCATGGCCTATAACATGGTGCAATTTAAAACCAATCAGGGCAATTAAAGTTTTTGGCTTTGATTTTTATGAAAGTATTATCAACTATTCAACATTGTTCAATAGAAAGAGACTGAGTAACAAATAACCAAGAGTGCCAGGGCAGCTTTTTCATCAAAACATAATAAAAAAGCAGGCAAATATTTTTCACCATTTACTCTAACGTTTTACTGTTTACGGCCAATTTCCAACATGTTTACATAGAAAGGAATAATGCGGAAAGTCATAAGCCTTGACCCTATATACAGATCACATATGAAGTAATACAATGTAATGTCGAAGACATTACATCTATAAAACTTCTTATGTCCGAGTTATGGCCACTAATGATATTGTAGAAACCTTTGATTATCTCCCTTACAGAGGGATTGTTATTTTGCAAGGTGACTAGGGGTTTGCGACCATTTAATTCCATACAGACGTTTGGTAGTTTTACGCTTTTTATCATAAAGAAACGAAATTGAAAAATAGTGTAGAGATCATGAACATATGACGTCCTACGATTTGTTAATGGCTCAAATCAGCAAATTTAAAACACAAGTAGATGGAAAGGGCTAAACCAAACCTACAAGTTCTATCATATATCAAACTATATATTCTTTTTCAGACAAAACATTAATTTTCCATTTTTTGTTTGGCTTAAAATGTTGATGTTATGTGGGTCCAACTATATATTAAGTCTTCAAAAGAGTTTAATTCGGAAAGTGTGATATTTTTAGTGTAAAATCTGGAGTTTGGGAGTTTTCGTGATAAATTTGTGAATTTTTCATATCCAATATGATGAAGAAAAAAAATTAATATGCATTCATATGGTGTATTATTTATATTTGTTTTGTCCATGAGGCAATGAGTCTTTTGTAGACGCAACGCGCGTCTGGCGTACAAAATTCCAATCCTGGTATCTATGATGAGTTTGTTTACAACCACTAGGTCGATGCCACTGCTGGTGGAGTTTTTCTCTTCGAGGGTATCACCAGCCCAGTAGTCAGCACTTCTGTGTTGACATGACTTATCATTGATATGGTCATAATTATATATTAACTGTTAACAAAACTTTGAATTTTCGAAATACTAAGGCTTTTCTACCTCAGGAATAGATTACCGAAGCTGTATTTGGTAAAAGTTTTAGGAATGTTGGGTCCTCAATGCTCTTCAACTTCGTACTTTATTTGGCCTTTTTAATTTTTTTTTATTCGGCCAAACGCGCGTCTGGCGCACATATTTTCAATCCTGGTATCTATGATATGTTTATTTAAAGAGATAAAGCACAGGAAATGAGTTGTAGACCTGATTACTTGAGAAAAATGCATATTTTGCTGGTATTTTTGGGATTTGTCACCTTTTCCATATTCTGTAAATGGTCAAATTTCAGATGACCGTAGCTTCCTTAATTGAACACCTACCTACAGTTTTTTGTTGTTGAAAACACACAAGGAAATATCTGTCTATAGAAATGTCATAACCATTTTTAAAGTTTAATTCAGGAAATTTTCCTCTTCAGAAGAGTACATACTTAATTAATGCAGAATCTAATAACGAAAAATAAAAACTTACAAAAAATTAGTATACTACACCAAAATTGTCATCAACGTCAATGTTTTTGGATGAATGACATTGTCATGTTTTTTCTTATTCAAATTTATTGAAACATCTTTGAAGCATTTTCATACATCTTTATATTGAAATTCACTAAATCCAACAATTGTCAGCTGTATTAAATTTTATGAGTAAATTAAATACTAGGTTAACTGGCTTTTATTATATTAATTACTTCTCTTTCGGTCTGAAAATGGAAGGTGTTTAAAAGTTGACATTAGCACCTGTTTCTATTTTGGTTTTAACTCATTTAAAGATTGTGTACACTATCTGTTTTGTTAGCTTATCTGTTGTTGTTAACTTACAGAATTCAAATACCCAAATGCAGTGCGTTCCATGCCCGGATGGCGCCTATCAGGTTACCTCAAACAGAGCCAACTACTGTACTAGTTGCACAAGGTGTGAAGAGGTTGTCATGAATCATTGGGTATCAGCTATCCTGTCTCCATGCACAGCAACATCTAACACTGTTTGCGGATGTATTCAAGGGTATCATTTTACTAAAGACCAAAGAGAACCAGCAAGAGGCTTTTGTCAGGCAAACTCTCTTTGTTCTGCTGGACATGGGTTAGTAGCAAATGGTAAGATTGTTTTTCACTTATGATAATATCTTTTTTAATATGGTGTAAATGTATGAAAAACATTTCTTTTCTTTTATTTTACCAAAGTTTGTTTTTAATTTGCTGCATATATTGCCGACATATTTACATATGCACACAATAGTTAAGAGTTATAATAACATGACATACGTGTAGATGTTGTATGGTGATTCCAATATATGATTTACATTGGCAGACATAAATCACGTGATATTCTAAATTGAAGTATTCAGTTTATTTTAATTAACGCAGCAGTCATGATCGCAGTCTCTCCATGACAATGTGACCATACCAAACTTGATTTAGCTTGTAATTTCTGCTTTAACTGTTTTCCGTTTTATTTTGTAATTTTATGACCGGTTGTACACATTTTTAGTATGAAGGGCTTTTACATCCCAATAACACAAAAAACATTATTTTGTTAAGTAACAATGTATATATATATATATATATATATATATATATATATATATATATATATTAAAATTTAAAATTCTCAGACTACATTTCACATCAAATAATAACAAATCGTTAAATTAATGTCACTAGCGCTTTCATGCCTTCTGGCAATCTTCAGGCGACGATTTAACAATGTCCTTGACGACACTACCGTTGGTAACGTTCATTGTTAAATCGTCGCCTGAAGATTGCCAGAAGGCATGAAAGCGCTATTGACATTATTTTAACGAACTTTTATTATTTGATGTAAAATGTAGTCTGCGAATTTAAAATTTTAATATATACATTCTGTACACCGTATTTATTTAACTTTTGCTATATATATATATATATATATATATATATATGTGTGTGTGTGTGGTAAAAACCAAGGGCGTAATTCAATTGCAGACGTGAACAAAACTATTTTCCTTTTCCCTTCAACCTTAGACTGTATGGGATTATTTTGTTTTCGATTTTTTTATTCACTCAAGCAATGTCTACCTTTTACAAAATATAAATTGATGCATCCAACAGTAAAGTTCTGAAAAAGCTTAGCCAGTTCTCTACTTCAAATTCTTATTATTCTTCTTCTGTCTAGCATTATAAGTCTTGACAAATTTAGAAGTTTGTTTGGCAAAACGGGATGACTGTACTAATTCGCATTTTCGACCGATAAACATGGGAATGTTAAATCGAAGTGTGAATGCTTTGCTTTCTCTATATTGCAAGAATTCATCTAGGTGGCCTGGCGTAAACCAAGAGTTTTGTCCATTTCAGAAATAGTCTCAGTTTCAAGTTGCAGTCATAAATGTTTTGCCTTTAACATAAGTCCACTTCATACTCGTATAAATAAAAAAATAAGAAGATGTGGTATGATTGCCAATGAGACAACTTTTAACAAGAGACCAAATTAACAAGAAATCAACAACTATGGGTCACCGTACGGCCTTTAACAATGACCAAAATCCATACCGCATTGTCAGCTATAAAAGGCCCCGAAATGACAATTGTAAAACAATTCAAACGAGAAAACTAATGGCCTAATTCATGTAAAAAATAATTAACGAAAAACAAATATGATGCACAGCAACAAACGTCAATCACTGAATTACAGGCTCCTGTCTTGGGACAGGCACATACAGAATGTGGCGGGGTTAAACTAGTTTGAAAGCGACAGTGGTGTAACAGTACAGCATAAGAACAAAATATAAAAATCAGTTGAAAAAGGTTAAACTCATCAGATGGATATAGATAGAAATACATCGAACAAAAACACAGAGTTGAAGTGGCCGGGTACTTATACATCCCCACAACAAAAAAGACACTAAGTACAGATCTGTGAGTACTCGCAGTTACTGACAGCTAGTTCAAAGCCATTAACAACTAATAAAAAAAATCATGCATCTAAGACTAAAATATCAATCAGTACACATCCAACATCCAATGGATCTAGTGTAAAGACGTCATTAACAATGTGCAATGTCAATAATTGTTCGTTTGTTCTTGTCTTAAATATGCATTAAATATTTGAGACTGGACTCTATGCAAGTAAAGAGCAACTCAATCAATATGACATATGAATTTCGCCATGAGATTTTGATCTTTAGATATTTAGACTTGCGTCATTGTAACTTTCTATATTATTGAACTGATGTAATGTATATGAACAATAACATCTAAAACAAAATTTTCCTCTTCTTTAAAAAACAATCGTGGAACAGAAAAATGTTTACATAATGTTGAGTATTTCCTTCGTAAGTAAAACATATTTTCTATTTTCAGCATCAAATTTTACAGATACACAGTGTAAACCATGCACCAACGGTAGCTCCTACAATCCTGCTCAGTCGTTGGAGCCATGTCACCAATGCATGACATCATGCCCGAACAATACTGAAATGTGGTATCCTTGTAACACCACGCATAATATGGCATGTATACCAGACAAAGGTTTGTAGTTTGATGTACGTTTGTGAAATGTCAAGTTTCGCTGTAGCCCTCGTGATCAAATTATTTACAGTTCTTTAAATGTCGTTTATTATATCTGACATCCAAATAGTTTTTTTTAAATCTTGACTAAGACAAGGTTCAATCTTCTTTTGCGACAACGACAAAAAAAGGGGACAAAAAGATTCATATATCTTCAAGCATGGTATCGGACGTTTTCGTGCAATGAAGAGTAGCCCCAGTGTCCGAGCTTGAACTATAACTCTAATTTGAAAACACACTGCCAAACATTAGAAATTTAATTTCCACCAAACCTGGAACGGAAATAAATGACAAAATATGTCAGGGGCCATGTCAATGAAATCAAAGATATGTCCCGAGTTACGTCTTAATGTAGGATGGTTTTAGAACTTTGCTGATACATTTCTTAGGATGCAAAACAAGACCATCTTTATGATGGTCGTATCTAAGATCCTAAATCTATTTTATCTAATGGATGAATATAAAAATAGAGACGTATATGAAATAAATTTATGATATTTCATAGTATACATGTAAAAGGAGTATCGTATTTTCTTTATTTCAACATAACATAAAATGTTACAAGAATAACAATACGATAAAAGATATTGAAATGACTGTTAATGATAATATATAACAAAATCTATCTAAAATTAAAAATTAAAATGTAGGATATTTAATAAGAGGTTATAATCGTTGTGTTATTAATACGTATAACAGATTTGACCTTGGGTTCACTCGTTTGCATTACCTGTATAACGGTTCTCATTGCATCAGCACGAGTAAAAAAAGGAATTAATTCAAGATAAAAAATGTCGGAATAAAAACATATAAAGGAATTTTATTCCGTTTAATTTGTTTTTTCATTTTGACTTTTGATCTGTGTCTTAGAAATTGCCTAAAACATTCTAGCTATCCTAAATTGTGGACAGAATCTTATCTTATGAGACTTTCGTTAAACTGGCTAAGACTAAGATATGCCACAAGACCACACCAAATATTTCCTAGTCCTAAGAAAGCATCAGGTTTTATCGGGTGTCAAGGTAGAGTAGAACAAAAAACAATGCCATGATATAAAGATGAAACAACCCAACTACAAATACAAAGCCCACAAACACATAATACAAAGATCTATTATCGAAAACAAAAGTGAGAATTTCAAAATATGTGTTAATGACAAAAATAAAGACAATAGATAAATATGTGAAGGAAAAGCACAACTTCTACTTAAACAAAGAAGCGGAAAACACCACACAGTAAAATATAAAATTCCATCAACATCACATTCTCCATATAACAACAAATTAGATATGACATGCGAGATTGTTCATATAGAATGATTTAACATTTTCAATTTTGATTCATAAAAAATAACGATTGTTCATTGTATTTTGTCTTTCAGAAGTGATGCACGTAGTTGTTGAAAGCGGCCCGAGTACTTATTTAAAAGCTGGAATGGGTAGTGGTGTGGGATTCATAGTTGCTTTGTGTACCATATGTTTCATTAAGAGGAGAAGACAAGGAACAGAAAAAAATCATCAATTAGGGTGTGTTTATTTTATGTTACTTTAAATCAAAACAAATAGAATACTAAATTGTTTTTATGATACGTTTATTCTTATTCCCAACCAGTCTGTGTTCGGTGATTTTGATAAAAAGAGTAGGAGGACATGTTTTTGGCAATTGAAAAAATGAAAATTTTGAACATTTTGTTTACTATTTCACATTTGCACATAATAAAGAAAAATACATAACATAAGAAAATGAAAATGTTTACTTATATAACGCAATACTACTTTTTTAATCGGCATCTACTTCACGGAATTGACGATACAGGCTGATAATTTGGTATTTCATCGATATTTCCTTTTGTGAAAACGACGTGTAAAGAACTTAGATATTTTTTTAGAGCAGCTGTCAAAGCTTGTTACATGATGTCATGAAATATGAAGTTGTTTCTTATATGTGCCAATACTTTTCAAACCAAAATGTACTTACAAAAGATGAGTAAGGAAGGGGAAAACCAAAAAAGTTTTCAAAAATACTACTTTCGTCATTATTTTTTAAAATCTTTTGTTTAATTCTTAAATTAAGATCATGATGTAACTTTTAAATTTTGCACCAATTTTAAGCCAAATATATGCCTTATTGTCCCTATTTCTTTTCGGTAACCGCAATGGAACTGGGATAGAAAAGATAGGATAGAAAAATGAGATTCTCATATAAATTCAGTATGAATAAAATATGATTGATAAGTATAACATAATTGATCACAATAATTGAACCAATTGTACATAAGTAATGAATTGTCTGCGTTAGGAAATGTTCAATGGAAACTGTAAGAGATAAGGGGGAAAATAAAAGTATGATGAACAATACAAATCATAAAATGAACAGCATGACTTTCTAACTCAAAGCTGAAATAATTGAAGGTGTCATAAAATCAATCATTATTGCATTCTTAAGGATTTAGTAGAAATAATATGAAAAAAATACAAGTCACAATGCAAACGTAACCGTAAATTAATTTGTTATAAAGAAAATACAGAATGCAGCCTTTTGAGAGTACAATAAATGATTGTACGAAAAGTCCTATATATTCTAAAACTGAAATATATATTAGAGTTCAATGCATTTCAGGTACAGATTGTTTAGTATATAGATATTTTGTTTACCTTTTGTTATACCGTTGACCAAGGTTTAACATATGAGGTTGTAGGCACCTGTATAATATTAAAACAAGTATATTGATCTCTAGAATACTAGATTACATTTTTGTGGTTGTCCTTGAATTAAACACATTTTCCCCTATATTCTCTAACGCCATGCTCTTTAGGTCGAGATAAGCAACACGATTGGTGCAACAAGCCAAGCAGGCACTTTTTACAATCAACCCTATTTTATTCTGGGTCTCGGATTGCTTTTTTTTTAATTCTCTATGTAATGTTTTGTGGATAGGAGATGGAATGTTCGTCTTTTGTTTTTGCTATAGTGTTGTTTTTTCTCAACTCATGATGTATATCATAATTTAATCTGATTTTTCTTTTTAAGTAAATATTAAAAAAATGTTGTAAAAAATTAAAATATTTACCTTCAAAAATAAACTTTTTTGAACGTCATACACATATGAGTATTTTCAAGCAGTTACTCAATAGACTACTGTTATACAGAATAGTTTGGTGTATGCCAGTGAATTTAGGGTAATTTGTTTTCTGACGATTTGGAACTTTAAATATCAGCATTGGATATTTGAATCAAACAGATGAAAATGGCATAAAACATGCAATTTTATTTTCATTTTTTCCCTTTGAGACTTTGTTGTAAATAGTTTTTTTTTATTTAATAGTAATCCTAACAACGGTATTTCCTTGATCAATAGGTAAGTAACTTGTCATTAATTATCATCTTGAATTTGATTGAAATATTTGCCACTGTTCGTGAAGCAATTAACAATTATTATTAATAATTATTTGCTTCAACAAAATATATAGGAAAAATTATTCACATCGTAACAAGCTTCTTTCGTTATCGTGATACACACATTCGCCAATGCGTACATGAACAAATGACTATATAATCCTACGTTTATCCCAGGCATCATTTTGTCTTCGAATCAAAATGATCAAGAGTTTAAACCTTACAAATAAGCATTAGATATCAATCTCATGTAGAAGGGATGCAAATGGCTTATAAAATGCAAGTTTGGTTATTTTATTTTGCATGGGAGGAGTAACTTTGTTGTTAAATTGTCTAAAATGTTATAAGATTTAAAAGAAAAAGAAAACAATTAATAACATATAATACGATTATTATTAATAAAATTAGTTATATTATTGTATGTTTCTTATTTGTTCAATAGTGATTCTAGGAACAATATTTCCTTGGTCAATAGGTAAGTTCCTTTTCATTTATTATCATCCTGAATTTGTATCAAATATTTGCCAATGGACGTGAAGCAAAAAACTATCAATATGAATATAGGAGCGGTGGATGCTAAGGGTACATTCAAAACTCATTAGTCGAGAGAAACTGACAACGCCATGGGATAAATATGAAACCTATTTGCAAGACAAACAGTGAAAACAACACTTAATAATTTCATGCGTCCGAAGCGCTTTTTCTGGATTTACCTTCATCAGGAACGCTCGAAGCCGAATATTTGAAAGTCAAAGATGTTTAAGAAAGATACATAACAGTTGAAGAGTACTTTGACCAAAAGGACTTGAAAATAATAGCCAAATCAATCTAAGGCCAACTTTGCATGAGGGAGTTGAAACCTTAGTTTCTTAATAATTTATAGATATATAAACGGACAATTTTAGAAACTAGGTTGTAAATTATTAAGTCAGGGAATTCGTTACCACAAATTACTTAAAACATTTACTAAATTCTTCCAAAGATACAAAAGATTTGGTTTGGAAGTTTAGATGTATCTGCAGACAGAAAACTTATTTCAAACGGGATAGCACATCCTGATTTTTACAGTGATGTTGTTTACCGAGCCCGGAAATTCATAAACAATCCGGGTTAACTTATCGATCCTTTAAATAAACTTATTCTAAAAGGTTACCAATTCAACACTGTAATTAGATCTTTGAATATTGTTTTTATTGGTATTAATATTGATTTTGTTATCAGTAAATCAAAATCAAACTAAATATTATTTTTATATACATATGCACATTCATCGCTGTATTTTGGCATTGCACAAGGTCATATTTTTCTCTGACTGTTAATGACGTCTTTACACTAAATACATTGGGTGTTGGATGTGTACTGATTGATATTTTAGTCTGAGATGCATGCTTTTTGTAATTAGTTGTTATTGGCTTTGAACTAGCCGTCAGTAACTGCGAGTACTTTCATATCTGTACTTTTTTGTGGGGATGTGTTTTCGTTGGATGTATTTCTGCTTTGTATCGATCTGATGAGTTAAGCCATTTTCGACTGATTTTTATAGTTTGTTCTTATATTGTACTGTTACACCACTGTCCCAGGTTAGGGGAGGGTTGGCGTCTTTAAACTAGTTTAACCCCGCCACATTCTGTATATGCCTGTCCCAAGTCAGGAGCCTGTAATTCAGTGGTTGTCGTTTGTTTCTATATATCATATTTCTTTTTCGTTCTCTATTTTGTACATTAATCAAGCCGTTAGTTTTCTCTTTTGAATTGTTTTACATTTGTCATTTCGGGGCTTTTTATAGCTGACTATGCGATATGAGTTTTGCTCATTGTTGAAGGCCGTAAGGTGACTCATAGTTATTAATTGCTATGTCATTTTGTCTCCTGTGGAGAGTTGTCTCATTGGCAATCATACCACATATTCTTATTATTATTGTTATAAATCATGTCCATACCGGAGTACTGACTACTGCGCTAATGATAATCCCGGGTACTGATAGTCCACCAGCCAGCAGCGGTATCGACCCAGTGCTGTAAAAAATGAAAACAACACTTTAGAAATTTCATGCGTCCGAAGCGCTTTTCTGGATTTACATTCACCAGGAACGCTCAAAGCCGAATATTTGGAAAAATATTTTCACTTAAGAAAGGGTTTCTTTGAAAGGTTTCAATCCGCATTAGGGGTAGACATATTCGTTAATGGATTGTTTTTGCAAGTAAATGAATTATATGATAACAAACAAACTTAAAAGTCCTACATGTTTCGAGCACATTATGTTGTTTTCGAATTAATATGACCATGAGCTTGAACCTTTAAAATGAGCATTATATATCAAACTGATACAGATGGTTGTTAGCAAATTCAACTTGACTTTTGATTGGTTTTCCTATGAGTAAGTTTGTTGTTGAATAGTCTACAATGTAATGAAATGAAAAAGAAAAAAATAATTCTATGTCATATTATACGTTTATTGTTTATAAAATTTGTTATATAATGTTAAAGTCCTAATTTGTTGATAGGAATCCTAATAATGATATGCCGTTGGTCAATATAAATCCTAATAACGTTATGCCGTTGGTCAATAGGTATTTAACTTTTCATTAATTAGCATGATCCTGAATATGAATGAAATATATGCCAGTGCACTTGAACTAAACAACAATCAATATCAATTATCATTTGCATAAAATTATGTCCGGTAAATTTTCACTTAAGAAAATGCTTCATTGACAATTTTTGAATATTTTGAATCATAGTCAGTGATACACAAATTCGTCAATGCGTTGTTCTATTTAAATGAATGAATTATATAGAACAACAAAATTTCTGGTCTTGTCGCAGGTAGTAGTCGCAACTTTGTTTGTTCCTGTAATTCCAAAAAGTAACCAGAAGTGATATGACAATGAGTTGAAGAAGACATTTGTCTTTGAATCAATATGACCATGAGTTTGAACCTCAACAATGAGCATTACACATCAAACTGATGTTGAAGGGTAAATAATGGACTTTAAAAAGGGAACTAAATTTTTCCCACTAAGAGTAAGTTTGTTGTTAAATAGTCTAAAATTCTACAAGATTGTAAGAAATAATAATTAAATGGCATATAAACCTATAAAACGGTTAATGTTGATATAATAATTATATAATGTTATGTTTCTAATTTAATCGAAAGTAATCCTAGCAATGATATTTTAGTTGTCAATAGGTAAATATTTGATAACGAATATCTACGGAAGCGTATTAGCGCCACACATTTTTTTTATATTTCTTCCTATGTTTGCGTTAAACGCAAACATTTGGATTTTAATTATTCGTCAAATTCTTAATATTTTATACGGAAGAATTTTAGTGCCATACAGTATTTTTAAATTTCTTCCTATGTTTGTGTTGTAACGCAAACATTTTGATTTTAATTATTCATTAAGTTTTGTATATTTTATAATCAAAAACTATATTGGATAAACATTTTACATTTATGATATAATTTGAAAGCAGTGTTTTTGTAAATGTCGGCATTTGCATGTCTGTTTGTCTGTAAATTTCGGTTGTGATTTAGTTAAGAGAAGTACCACGAACACAAGGTCAAATGATTATAATAAATATACATAGGAATAAGGGAATAATTAAAATGCAATTATACACAAATTAAGATTGGTTTTTGTATCAGATAATAATATCAATTTAACATGAAAATAGATATGGTATAGGCAAATTTTAATTGAAAGGTCAAGATTTTGAAAATTTTGATTACGGAAAAAAAAGAAGAGCAAAAAGATGTCATACAGTTGTGAAACTATAAGTCTAATAGACAAAATTATCTTTCTGCTTTAAAATGAACTATTTAGAATAATTTTTTTTTTTTAAATTTTGATGTAAGAAATCGTTTGTTGAAATCTCATAATATGATAAAGATTCTATGATAAAAAGTAATGGGGTTTTAAACTTCAATCTAGTGATGTAGCTATTTAAGATGTTTGGGTAGCAATTTGAATGTTAAGAACATAATTATAATAATACAAAATCTGCATCTTATATCTTTATTTCAATAGGTTAGCTTGTTTGGATCGAACCAATCTTACACAATGCTCAAACGAGCACTTACTTTGGAAATATATTTAAATTCGGCTACATTAACAGGGTTGATTTTTTTTCTTCGGTATTACTTCCAATTACTTAATTTTCTTTGTAATATATGTATACAAGTATTTTCCTGCTCATTATTATACCATGATATGTGCTAAACACTCAAGCATTTTACGTTGCAATAATAATTTTAATACATGCATCCTCCTTCATTTATAACAGCTGCTTCCCTAATAAAATAAAACAAATGTTTGCCTTATAACCTAAAGGCTAGCGTTATTTCGCAAAGGTTTGCGTTATAACAAAAAAAGGTTTGCGTTATTTCGCAAATGTTTGCGTTATAGGAATAAATATAAAAAAATTGTGTGGCGCTAATACGCTTCCGTAAATATCATCCTGAATATGTATAAAATATTAGCCACTGAAAGGGAAGGAATCAACAATCAATAGAAATAAATATGTGCACAAATTATGTCAGGAAAATGTTTCTCGTAAGAAAATGCTTCTTTGAAAATTTTAAGTTGTTTTAATCATCGTCAGTGATACACACCTTCGTCAATGCGTTGTTTTTAAGACTGATCGAATGACATAGAAAATGTGCATTTGTTAGTGATTTGATATGGAAATGAGTGAAAAAGAAATATGACGTCGAATGTTATCATTACAATTGTTTAGATGCAACAGTTTCTATTATTGCTTTTCTTCAGGCAAGATGTTAGTTCTATACTGGAAAATATAAGGAAAATCTGTCTTAGATCTGGTAAGTGTTTGAAAAATATTTGGCGAGCAAACGAACTTGCATACTTTAATTGAGACCGTCAAAATAAGCATTACTTCCAATAAATATGCTAATTGATTGCGTCAAGTATAGATAACCAATGACATTAGAAGATTCCAATATATGAGGCAAATAACGAAGATGTTTGTACCGCTGCTTATGGAATTTTTCATTAACAGCATTTACCAAATAATTGTGTTTAATGAAAGTTTCATTTAACAGATCTTTGGACACAAAGTTAAAAATGATCAAGACTGAAATAATTATCTTTTCATTCTATAGGGAATATAACAATTACGTGCACTGTTTATAAAGACCACACTCTCATTATTATGGGTCCTATAAGGAGCAATTATATAAATTGATGTGTTGTTGCAAGTAAACAAAACCTTGTTCGATTCGCTCGTGTATGTAACAACGTATTTGATTTCAACTGAAGAAATCTCTGTATTACTGAAAAATTATTACACCAGGGTTTTCGACATCACAAACTAGTCAAAACATTTACTAAATTTTATCATCGGTACAAGGACATCATTCGTAAATATAAATCAACATGCATACATCTTATACGTTCAGGTATTTCACATCCAATATTTTATGGTAATATTCCTTACAAAGCACAAAAATGTCGGCATTCACCTCAAAAGCTAACCAAACCTTTAAACAGACTTATTCGGAAAGGATATAGTTACGATACCGTTGTCAAGTCATTAAGGATTGCATATTTTGGTATTAATATTGATTCACTCATAGGGTCTTTGCATCGGAAATAAACACATTTATTCTTAAACCAGTTATTGGCATGATACGGGTTATGTTCTTCTCATATATTTTATGATGGTATGATACTAAACCCCTTACGGGAGGGATTGTACTTGATTTTCATACGATGAAGACATAATCTGTCAATCAGTTTAATTGAGGTCTGGAGCTGGCATGTCAGTAACTGCTAGTAGTCCTCTGTTCATTTATGTATCATTATCATTTTGCTTAGTTTCTTTTGTTACCTATTCTGACATCGGACTCGGACTTCTTTTAACTGAGTTTTACTGTGCGTATTGCTATGTTATCTTTATTCTACATTGGCTAGAGGTATAGGGGGAGGGTTGAGATCTCACAAAACATGTTTAACCCCGCCGCATTTTTGCGCCTGTCCCAAGGCAGGAGCCTCTGGCCTTTGTTAGTCTTGTAATTTTTTTTAATCTTAGTTCATTTGTATGTTTTGGAGTGACGTCCATTTCTACTGAACTAGTACACAATTTTTTTAGGGGCCAGCTGAGGACCACCTCCGGGTGCGGGATTTTCTCGCTGCGTTGAAGACCCATCGGTGGCCTTCGGCTGTTGTCTGCACATTGGTCGGGTTGTTGTCTCTTTGACATATTCCCCATTTCCATTCTCAATTTTATTAAAAATCCATGTTTTGACGGAAATATAAACCGACGTTTCCAAAAAAAGTGGACATCGCAATTTCCCCGTTCTTTTTATCAATTTCAAAACTTCTCTGTTGCAGGAATTACAATCTTGTTTTTTTCCCATAAAGATCAGGTCTACATTGCATTTGAAGTTTAACAATTATAATCTAAAATTGGAGTGTTTATACAATAAGATAAATATGAAGGTAACATTCCCATTTCATTTTACATAATAACATCCAGGTTTTAACAGATAACAAATTAGAATAAACACTCGGAACTACAAATACAGTCATACTAGGTACAACGAGGATCTCCTTCTTAATTTGCATACATCACATGTCATACTATTCCAAAGTTGTCTTCGTAAAAGCCAGCAACATACCAATATCTAGTACAATATGAAATGAAACGTTTACATGAATACAATTTAGTTGTAACTATTAATTTTCATAGGTGACGAAATTGACTGGGATTGCTTTTTCAATAAATTTCCATCAACAGTGACCGTTCTTCCCGACTGGCAGCAATTTATCCGGACTTTATTTTGTAAGTATCAAGCCAGGTGCTATGGGAAGAAGTAAATTCCTCTTTCAAAAAACGATTTGTAATTTGGTAGATGAGCAGATTTGTTTTATCCTTGAAACTTTATTATTTAATATATTATCTGGTATGGTGTGTATATATTTCTAAAAGCAGGTTCTGAGCACGTTCCCATGTTAATCTACTATATTATTGATTCTTGATAGTTTTTAAATGTCCAGTTGCAAGTATTAGAATCAAAATCAGGCCCATAAAAAGTTACAGCAATCAATAATGATGATTTACAAAATATTTAGTCAGTGCATGTCCTATGTAAAACAAACTGTTGCTGTGTTACTTATTTGTTTTTCTTTGATTTTTTTGTACATTAATTAGGCCGTTAGTTTTCTCGTTTGAATTGTTTTACATTTGTGATTTCGGGGCCTTTTATAGCTGACTATGCGGTATGGGCTTTGCTCATTGTTGAAGGCCGTAAGGTGACCTAAATCTGTTAATTTCTGTGTCATTTGGTCTCTTGTGGAGAGTTGTCTCATTGGCATTCATACTACATCTTCTTTTTTATATGAACATCAAAAGAAGAGAAAATCATAACATGTAACAAAATATCTGCCAACTTCTCTGCATTAATACACTTTAGCAAAGTTTATAGGGCCGTGAAACATTTGATGAGGAAAAGAGAATATAGTTGTGTGTTAAGTGGTAACTAGAGAGTTTTACTGTCCCTCTGATATCTTTCGTCGCTCTTTTAGAGACCAGTGACAAAAAGTATAAATATGTGATTTATTAGAGATTGCTTAATGTCAGTATTAAAGGGTGACTTGCAAAACGGAGCAGACTCGTTGATTTCTAATAGGTAAAATGCAACAAAAGGGAAGATAATTTTTAAAGAAGTGGTCTCTTGAATGTATATTTTTATATGGCTGTATGAAACGTGTACTTCAACAGCTTTAGAGCGCTTGCATTCTATCGATGACTAAAACCCATCAACTCTAATTAAATTAATTGATACTAAATATAAAAAAAAGAAGATATAGTATGATTGCCAATGAGACAACACTACACAAGAGACCAAATAACACAGAAATTAACAACTATAGGTCACCGTACGGCCTTCAACAATGAGCAAAGCCCATACCGCATAGTCAGCTATAAAAGGCCCAGAAATGACAAATGTAAAACAATTCAAACGAGAAAACTAACGACGTAATTCATTACAAAATAATGAACGAAAAACAAATATGTTATACAGCAACAAGCGATAATCACTGAATTACAGGCTCCTGACTTGGGACAGGCATATACAGAAATTTGGCGGTGTTAAACTAGTTTGAAAGCGCCAACCCTCCCCCTAACCTGGGACAGTGGTGTAACAGTACAACATAAGAACAAACTATAAAAATCAGTTGATAAGGGCTTAACTCATCAGATGAACACAAATAGAAATACATCAAACAAAAACACAGAGTGGACGTGCAAAGGTACTGATACATCTCCACAACAAAAAGACACCAAGAATAGATCTGAGAGTACTCGCAGTTACTGACAGCTAATTCAAAGCCAATAACAACTAATAAAAAAAATTCAACAAAAATGGGGAAATAATTATTAAAAATTTTCCTCTAGATACTATCTTTTGAATGTAAGAAGCTTCTGTTCAAGTTTGGTAAGAATCCAGGATGGTTTATGAATCTGATAAATGTTTTAAAAACTTTAACTGCAGACTGTATGTAATGTAAACTGGAAGAAAAACTAAGTCCATTTATAAGATATATACGGAAAAATAGGAATTTTTTTTTTTACAAAAAATTTCCTTCTAGATACTAGCTTTTGATCATAAACAAGCTTCTGTCCAAGTTCGGTACAAATCCAGGATAGTTTAAGAAAGTTATTAAAATTTGAAAACTTTAACCACAGAGTGAATGTAACGTTAACTGGAAGAAAAACTAAATCCATTTAGAAGTAAAATACGGATAAACAGGATTTTTTTAACAAAATTTACTTTTGAATAATATCTTATGATCATAAACAAGCTTCTGTCCAAGTATGGTACAAATCCATGATAGTTTAAGAAAGTTATTAAAATTTGAAAAACTTTAACCACAGAGTGAATGTAATGTAAACTGGCAGAAAAACTAAGTCCATTTATAAGTAAAATACGGGTAAAAAGGATTTTTTTTAACAAAAATTACTTTTGAATACTATCTTATGATCATAAACAAGCTTTTGTCCAAGTATGGTACAAATCCAGGATAATTTAAGAAAGTAATTAAAATTTGAAAAACTTTAACCACAGAGAGAATGTATTGTTAACTGGTAGAAAAACTAAGTGCATTTATGAGTAAAATACGAATAAACAGGAATTATTTTTACAAAATTTACTTCTGGATACTATCTTATGATCATAAAGAAGCTTCTGTCCAAGTTTGGTAGAAATCCAGGATAGTTTAAGAAAGTTATTAAATTTTGAAAAACTTTAACCACATAGTGAATATTTGTGGACGCCGCCGACGACGACAGAATGTAGGATCGCTATGTCTCACTTTTGCGACAAAAGTCGCAGGCTCGACAAAAATCATGCATCTAAGACTAAAATATCAATCAGTACACATCCAACATCCAATGGATTTAATGTAAAGACGTCATTAACAGTCAGAGAAAAACATGACCTTGTGCAATGCCAAGATACGGTTATCGACAGATTGTAGAGCCATGAATGTGCATATGTATATAAAAATGATATTTAGTTTGATTTGAATTTACTGATAACAAAATTAATATTATATATACACATGTTTATACCAAATCTGTAAAGAAATCTTATTCATAATTCCGCGTTCACAACTCATTTTCAACTAGGAAATGTATCGCAACTTTATTCGATCAGTGCCGTCCTGTCTTCTTTATTCTGTGGTTGGTCGTAAAAGAATGAACAATTAATTACATATACAATGTACATTAAGTATTTTTTAATGTTGAACATTTAAAATATATGAGTACAGATTCCTCTCAAAGATTTGTTATAATTTCCATTACTTTTATACTGTTATACAAGCAAGTCGAATTTGCAATTGTTCCCAAATATCTGTCGTCTAATTAAAGTTGTCAGTCATTATCAGAGGCTATGCATTTCTAACATAAATGGTATAATATTTTGTTTTTTAGAGACTTATACAACTTAAAGTCAATGTTTAAAGAATATTTCTCATGTACAATCTGTTAGTATATCTAATCATGCTGCAATTTGGTCATGTTAAAAAAGATGGCAGATTAGCATTTTATTCTAAAAAGGCAATAACTTATCCTAAACTATCTGAATCATATTTTTTCTCGTCAAAACAATTTTGTTCAGTTTTGCTTCAATTGGTCTTTTAAAATGATGCACAGTTTAAGTACGCTGCAATCACGTCAAAAAATCCAACTTATATACCCTTCCCTTTTGACGAATGTGACCTACCGAATTAGACTATTTACCGGATTTGTAATAACATAAGCAACACGACGGGTGACACATGTGGATCAGGATCTGCTTACCCTTCCGGAGCACCTAAGATCACCCCCAGTTTTTGGTGGGGTTCGTGTTGCTTAGTCTATAGTTTTCTATGTTGTGTCATTTGTACTATTATTTGTCTGTTTGTCTTTTTATTTTTGGCCATGGCGTTGTCAGTTTGTTTTCGATCTATGAGTTTGACTGTCCCTCTGGTATCTTTCGTCCCTCTTGTGTACATGTATATGCGACAAATTGACCAAATAGTGTGTATTTTTGGAATATACATATTTATTTATCTGTCTACTAGATTATGAAGTAAGTGAGTTTATTTTTTTGTCTCTATAAGAGTTTTGAAATTTGTTGGCATATCACTGAAAGGTGAGTACGAACTTGTGTATTTCTTATATTCAACATTTTATTCATTTTTACCTCACTGGGTACATTTACAAGCTGGTGGACGTTTCGTCCCCGAGGGTATCACCAGCCTAGTAGTCAGCACTTCGGTGTTGACATGAATATCAATTATATGGTCATTTTAGTAAATTTCCTGTTGACAAAACTTTAAATTTTTCGTAAACCTAAGGATTTTCTTATACCAGGAATAGATTACCTTAGCCGTATTTGGCACAACTTATTGGAATTTTGCGTCCTCAATGCTCTTCAACTTTGTACTGGTTTGGCTGTATAACTATTTTGATCTGAGCGTCACTGATGTGTCTTAGGAAGACGAAACGCGCGTCTGGCGTATTAAATTATAATCCTGGTACCTTTGATAACTAATTACAAAATAGCCCGCTATGTATTTAGTTCTAATATCTTTAAATACATCACAACAGAAAAATATAATGAACTCATTTCCAACATTACAGCTTGTTTGCAGAGATTGCATGGTCTTTTATTCCTGGGTATATCATTCCAACGTCCCGTCTCTATCGGAAATTTAAGATTGCTAGTTCTACATTTACATGATTGATTGATTGATTGTTGGTTGCTTAACGTCCAGTGGCAAATATTTCATGCATATTCAGGACGAGAACAAGTTCACAATAAATACAATAGGTAGGTTCTGTAATAGATTAAGGGATTAAGGTCGGAGAAACTTAGACTGCCACGGGAAATGAGGGTATATTGGATAGGGACAGAAATTTAGCCTTGCAACAGGTCACCTACGGACCCCTCAAAGAGTTGTTGCATGGGTCTACATTTACAGATATAGCTTGTATTTACAGGATGTAACCATAAAAGATATTCTTCTAATTCAAATTCTATCTTAAATTTGGAATAATATTCACCACTACTTTTGTTTTTGATACATTGGCTTTGAGTTTCCATAAATTACAATTGTTTTCAAACACTTTCAGCGCTTTTTTAACAGTTTCGTCTGCCTAAAGTAATAAAAATAGTTTCATATGTATACCTATATCTTAAAGCTTAAAGAACTAAGAGTGTCAAGTCCAATTTCACAATTTCAGACGAGTTTTCTTCTAAATAGCTTACAAAAATAGAGAAAAGAGAAAAGAAAGGCAGATAAATTCTCTCATTCCCTTACACCAATATCACATGTGAAAAAATCAGAGTATCTATCACCATCTTTTACACAAGATTTTAATATGGCTTTATAATGAAAAAAATAACATTAAACATTTTCCTTTGAATGTTACTTTTAATCACATTCTGCCAAAGCCTTTCCCTCAAAATTGTATCAAATGCTTTTAAAAAGTCTATAAATATGCAGAATAACTTTATTTCGTCGACAACAAATAGTGCAATTAAAGAATACAAAAATGAAAATATTGTCTTGCGTAGAATATCCAGTTCGGAAACTTGCTTGTGTCCCAGATATAAGACCCGTTTCATCTAAAAAATAATTTAATCTTGTGTCCAAAATTTAACTAAAAACTTTACCTAGACATTGCACTAAAGAAATCACCAGAAAAATGTCGCGGTCCTTTGGATCACCCTTCCTAATGTCCATGACTCAGTCTCAGGACTATCTCCACTATCAAATACTAGATTAAATAATTTATGCAAACATGGTAAACATTTGTATACAGTTGTTTTCATATTATCTATGACAGGTGCCTTTGAATTTTTAGTATGAACAAAGTGTTTTAGATAAACAATTTAAAACTAAATCATGCGGGTTTACTTTACATTATTTATTTTATAGCTCTCTCCGTTTCGGGAAGAGGACAGGAAACTGTAAATGAAGCAGAAGAACGTCACGAACAAAAACTGTTTCATTCCCGGCTTTTCTATGCTCTAAACAAATGGAAAGAATGCTGTTATAAAGACAATGATACGGTTATGTATGGAATCTTGTGTGAAGCTGTGATAACTCATCAAAGAAACTTACAATTCAGACCTAATTAATATAATCAAAACGAAATCGCCTTTCATGGTATATGCCTTTACATGTGTAACCATAGTTTTGATTTGTAGTAATTTGATTCGGGTGAAAGTACATACAATGTATACGCATTAACACATGCCAATTATCTTTAAAGAGATAGGAAGAATTTTCCCCGTATTAAGTCAAGGCGTTTTTCTAAATCTTCAAAATCCTCTTGAACCGTAATTGACATTTAAGAATGAGGTAACATCATGTCAATTGTTGGACATTCAAATGAATTATAATACTCTCTTATAGATACATCAAGCTTAAAGGATAGGCAAAAGATACCAAAGGGACATGCAATCTTTTAAGTCGAAAATAAACTGACAACGCAATGGCATAAAAAACGAAAAAGACCAAAAGATAAATAACAGTATTCAAAACACAACATAGAAAACTAAAGACTCAGCAAAACGAACCCAACCAAAAACAGGGGTGATCTCAGGTGCTCCAAAATGATATGCAGATCCTGCTCTACATGTGCCACCCGTGGAATTAAATCTAAAATTGTGATAAATTGAGAAAAAGAAAAATCCTTTCTATTAATTTATCAACGATATTATATGAGTAACATACCGAAACCTCTACCTAAATAGAAGAGAAACTTAGTAATGCCCATAAACATTCAAATTCAATATTTTTAAAAGTTTTTCTATTTTGACATTGTTTGTACACAAATGTAAAAAAAAAAAGCTCATTCTTTCTTGTAAAGGAAAAGACTGGTAGAAATAATTTGGACACGGAATCTGTTGTTGTAAACAGTCAAGAAATGATTTTAATCAAACGCTGAGAACTACATTTAGTACACAGATGTATTCATTGTCAATATTTATTCCATTCATTTATATATATAAAACACACAATGAACCACCCAGAAAATAATAACATTTTCTATGATGACTGTAGAAAACAATGTATTCAATTTCATTATAGAAATAGACCTAACACTTTGAAGTTTCATATCCAATGAATTCCAAAACATTCCAGAACTAAATGAGCTGTGTAAACTTTTTAAGGAAATCAACAACAAATTGAAATTTCTGGGTGAATAACTGTAAAGGTCTCTATCTACTTTCGTACGTTAATTAAGTAATTGTATTGAAACATGTTATGTATTATTATCTCTATACCTTTGCAATTTGGTTTGTTAGAATAAAGATATATGTATCTATATTACAGTAAATGTGTATAATTAAGGATTATGTATAGTCCCTGAAATTTTTAGGGATTATGTATAATCACTGGCAACTTTAGTGATTATATATTATCACTAAGATTTTCAGGAATTATACATTATCACTAGAAAAAATGTCAGAGATTATATATAATAACTGGAATGATAAGACAGTGCATCTTATTCTATAAAACCATATTTAAGGTAGATAGGGTGTCTTCCTCCATCTTGGATTTTGAAATACCAGGTAATAATCGGTCTAGACCTTTAATAAAATGTGCACATTTTGAGAGTAGTGGGTAATTCATGTGTAAGAATTTTCATTTTAATATAGAAAATGACATGTTTTATTATATCTATGGTTGTATTTTACAAAAAACAGAATACTTTTGTTTGATTCAATTTTTTCTAACTTTGCCACATAAGGGGAGGCAACTCAAATGTAAGGGCAGATAATTCAGATAAAGTTACTTTTACAATAGAATGTGTTAGGAATTTATCTATTTTATTATGTAGCAAGAAAACGGGCCCGGTGACCCCATTTTTTCTTTTTCTTATCTGAAAGCATAATATTAGAGCTATCTTCTCATATTTTATCTCAAAATTCTATGGTGTAGTTTTCGTTTTATGGCAGAAAATTGGGTTTTCCATGCATAATCTATACAAAATCTGTCAATTTTGCACAACCTGTAGCCTGAAAATAAGCCCCGTGACCCATTCTTTTTATTATTATTTTTAAATAAGCATGATATAAACTACATTTTGGCAATTTATTAAAAAATTCTATGGATTATAATTTAGACACCCCATCTACCTTAAACATCTTTATAACAAAAAATCTAAAATGATAAGCACAATACTCTAAAACAAATAATTTATTTTCATAAAATATTGTAAATTTGGATGACAAGGCCCGAGAACACAGTTATTTCATAGTGCATTTTTTTTTTAGACAATGAAAGCAAATTTAATAAATCGCTCTATCCAAATAAGATTTTGACAGTGATGTGTACTACTTATGAGACAAATTATATCGAAATTATAGAAAAAATTATCTGTTTTTACTCAAAACATGGACACTTTTATTTTAAGGGGTCTATAATTTAGTTTGACAGCTTCAGACATACTAATGTTTCCTTTTCTAACTGGACCAAATCACAACTTTACCTTAAAATTCATTCTCAAATTTTGTTTACGTGTAATTTCACCTCTCTTCTTACTATGTTATTCTTAAAATATAAAGAAGTTTATTAAGATGGTGTATGAAAAAATTTGGCATGTTATACACTGTCCACACTAGTGACTCTATTTGGTAACTGTGTCCCCGGACCACATCTACTATTGTACATTGACCAATCAATATGGAACGCCACAGCTGTCTTATGTGAAACTCTGATATTACTTTATGTTGTTTTATTATTACTTGATGATATTTTGTCTTTACTTAATATGGTTTTGACATTACGTAATGATGTTTTGATATAACTCAATATGGAATAGTCATTACTTAATGATATATCGATATTACACGATATGGTTTCGTATTGACTTGATATAGTTTTGTCATTACTCAATATGGTTTTGTCATTACTCGATGTGGTTTCACCATTATTTAATGTGGTTGTGTCATTAGTCAATGTGGTTTTAACATTTCTTGATGTGAATGTGACTTAACGTTATGTAGTTGTTTCATTACATGATGTGGTTTTGTTATTTCGTAATGCTGATTTGCCTATTCTTTATATGGTTTTAACATTACGCAATGATGTTTCAAAATTTGACGATTTTACACTACATGATGTGTTTGTTTCATTATTTGATGTGGTCCTGTCATTCTTTGATGTGGTTATCCCATTACTTGATGAGGTAAAACCACGTGACCAATTCGGAAAAAAATATGTTTTATTTTTAAACATATTTTAAATTTATCGTTTGTTTAATGTGCTTTGGATGGGTATCGCTATCCATTGAGTTAAAGTTCAAATTAAAGTTCGAGTGGTTGTTCAGAGTTATTTGGTATGAAAAAGGGGAACGGCAGACAATAATAAGAAAAAAAGTATTAAAAAGTTTACAGTATTTCGGACATAATTGGGATATCCCCAAACCACTTGGTCCTGTTGTTTTTATCCTAAGTTCTCAAACGGAAGCAGTATTTTTGTAATAAATTTGTAAAATATTCCACGGAACCCTGTGCCTCGCCTGATATTGCTGCTGTAAGTGTAAAAGCGTCATGTTGATCGGCTGTACATTTATCTATACATTTATCGGTAAAAAAAAAAATTTAAAATTTTTTTTTTTTCTGTAGATGCTTTTTCTTGAAATTGAGGAATAACTCCTATACAAGTTTTAAAACACTTCATGGAGGTTTACAAATTTATCATGTCAAAACAGTTTAATTCGATTTTATTTAACTAAAACAAAACTGTATGGTTTTCAACAATGAGCAAAACCCATACCCTATAGTAAGCTATAAAAGGTCCCGAAATGAAAAATGTAAAAACCTAGAAACCTAACGATCTATAGATAGATAGATAGATAGATACTTTATTCTCTAAAAACTAAATACAAGTTTACAGAGAAACATACAATATAAATACAGATACAATAGTCGAGGTAAACAAATCCAGTATGATATTCTAAAAGTAATATACATGGCATACATGTTTAGTAACATGTATAATGAAAGGTTAAACTCAATAGAAATAAAAAAATGGAGATGGAGACGCCGACGCCACTATCGACGACGAAATATAGGTTTGTTGTGTCTCACTACCGCTACATTGATGTCGCAGGCTCGACACAAATCAAAAGACTTGAACATTATTGTTAACAAATGAAACACTTCAAATCAACTCACACTAAAGTTACAGGGAAACGGGGGGAGGGGGGCTCGGACTAAGCGACAAAGCATCAATACTATAAAATTAGAATTCTCTGATTTTTTTTTAGCGTAAATGATCATTTGAACTTATACGAATATCAATCTTTTATTTGTAATCAATTGAATTCCCTGATCTACCTCGCACTAATTGAAAAATAAACTTTTTGGAATATCTGTTTCATATGTGACGACGGACATGTTCCAGTGGTCGTAACCATAAAACCGTCATCTTTTCCTTGAATGTAAACTACCAAATAAAACCAAATCACTGGGTTTGTACTTTCTCGAAAAACACGACGGGTGCCTTTCTGGAGCATCCGAGATCACCCCGATGGATTTATATTACCCAGTCATACCGATCTATTGAAACAGCCAAATGAAACTGTTCTGTATGCCACCGCATCTGAAAGTTGGGGGGGGGGGGGGGGGGGGTGGGGGGGGGGGGGGGGAGGGCATAACTCCTCCTACAGTTTGAATCCTAGGAATTTTTTTCTTTACTGTCTGTTTGTACATATATTGAAGGTGTACATGTGGTCAGGGTTTTTATTTTTATTATCTTTTGCTCTTTTGGGAGATAATTGAACTTTTTTTGTCATTTTTGGGGTATAAGCGGTTAAATGAGTTGAGTGTGGGGGCATCACTTTGTCTAGTTTACATTTTGTTCTCGTGTTGTGCTGTTACACAACTGTAACAGTCCGATGAAAGGTTAGGATTTAGCGCTCACATACATGTTAAACTCCGCCACGTGCAATTTCTTTATGTACCTGCACCAAGTCAGGAGCATGAAGTTCAATTGTTGTCGTTGTATAAATGTGTGTCATTTTTTTTTGTAGATTGTTTATTTATAAATAAGACCGTTTGTTTTTTCGTTTGAATTTTTTCACATGTTGCATGTTGGCCTTTTGTAGCTGACTATACGGTGTGTTGAAGGCTGTACGGTTGCCTATATATGATTTCTTACATCCATTACATTTAAACTCTGATGGATAGTTGTCTCATTGTCAATCACACCACATCTAACTTTATTTCAACTTCTATGTTGCGTTTTGTATACTGTAACAGTGTTTAGCTTTTGTACGCATACCCCGGAGCCCTCTTTTCGGAAGCCCGAGCAAAAGTCCTTGTTACGCGATAGAAAATTTAATTACGAACTCATATAAGATAGCTCGAATTTCAACTCAAAATCCTAATTAATCTAAATGAGACTTAAATTCGAATCTTACTCAAACTCTACCTCAAAAAGTGGCTCAAATTTAATGTTGTAACTAGAACTTTACCTCAGTTAAATGTGACTCAAACTCGAAGTCCAACTCGAGACTCAATGCTAACTAAAACTTTAATTCTAATAATGACTTGAATTCGAAATCGAAAACTAACTCAAAGTTTAACTCAAACAGTAACCCGAACTTTCATTTGAACTCTAATTCGATGGATGGCCACACTCATCCAAGGCACATACAACATGGAAATCTATCTAAAAATAGAACAGGTTTTTCCGAATTGGTCACGTGATTTTACCTCATCAAGTAATGGGATAACCACATCAAAGAATGACAGGACCACATCAACTAATGAAACAAACACATCATGTAGTGTAAAATCGTCAAATTTTGAAACATCATTACGTAATGTTGAAACCATATAAAGAATAGGCAAATCATCATTACAAAATAACAAAACCACATCATGTAATGAAACAACTACATAACGTTAAGTCACATTCACATCAAGTAATGTTAAAACCACATTGACTAATGACACAACCACATTAAATAATGGTGAAACCACATCGAGTAATGACAAAACCATATTGAGTAATGACAAAACTATATCAAGTCAATACGAAACCATATCGTGTAATATCGAAATATCATTAAGTAATGACTATTCCATATTGAGTTATATCAAAACATCATTACGTAATGTCAAAACCATATTAAGTAAAGACAAAATATCATCAAGTAATAATAAAACAACATAAAGTAATATCAGAGTTCCACATAAGACAGCTGTGGCGTTCCATAAATCAACCTTTTTTGCAACAAAATCCACTTTAAAAAAAACCTTGTCCTTCAAATATTGAATCTGATTTTATCGAATGTTGAAGAGAAAAAAATGTTCATAAGAAAAAACAAAAGTGAATCAACCACCTCAAATTAATTTCTTGTGTAGGATCCGAGCAAAATTCTGTTTTGTAGCAAGGCAATATCCTTTTCATTCTGTTCATGAACAATGGCAAATATATTTTAGGGATCTCCCTTGCTGCGATCAACATGCATAATCTGTATCAAATCATTTCAGATATTTGTCTCCTCTAACATTGTGTTCAATCTGTCAAGCATGCGTTCTGTTTGTTTTCCTGCACTTTAAGTTGCATTTGTTTGCTAATTTAATTCCTTATTCATTGGAACAAAGGAAACATTAAACAAATATTCAATAACATTTATTGCCATTTTTTACAGCAAATTACATGCAGTGTGCATTTACTTTCAGAACATGAATGTGCATTTGAAGCTGTTATGGGAAAAACATACAATTCAATGCATACATGTGCAGTTATCACTATAATTGAAAATGTTGTTATTTTATTTTCAATTTTAAAATACTTTTTTACTTAAAATTTAATGTGTTTCAACACAGTTAGATAGATCACTCGAAAAACTGTTCACTATAGATTTGATAAATGGACAGGACATGAAAACTGTCCACTTAAACATTAAAAGGGTAAGAAATACAGATGATTTATTTGTCTATATTTCATTTATTTTTATCAAACAAAGGATCTTCGTGTCATTGATAATCCCTGAAATAATATCCGGGAATATGTAAAATAATTCTTAAATTTTCAGTGATTATGTAGAATCACTGGACAATTTCAGGGATTAACTAATGATTTTAGTGATTCTGCAAAATCCCTGAAAAATCAGGGATTCTACCTAATCCCCGATTATACAAATTCACGGTCACTTATGTATGATGTTAGCCCTGTATAACCACGTGTTATCCGATGGATAATGTCTGTGTTATTATACATTTTCCCTAAAAATTTAAGGGATCATACATAATCCTAAATTATACACATTACTGTAATATGAATATATTTATCTTTATTTTCACAATGTTTTGTCCTGTAGTGATAATTAAATTATAATTATTCTTACATAAGTTATAGTTCATAAAATCATTGTACATCATTGCATCGTGGAACTCATTCTCCGCCTCATTTTTAGACTTATACCTCGAATTTGACATAAGCGGTCATCTCAGTACCAGAATCTATAACAAACGAGACGATTTTAATTTTGAAATTATCAATTTCCCTCACCTTAATAGTAATATACCAAATTCAGATGCATATTGGATATACATTTCCCAACTCATTCGGTATTTAAGAGCTTGCAGCTGCTATCCAGACTTTATAAAACGTAACCAGTGTCTGAGTAGAAAGTTGATGAACCAGGGTATGTAAAAGAACGTCTCGTTCTTTTTCTAAAAAGGTTCATCGGAAGATACTAAGACCTTGTTGAAAAATATTCTGTATCAACTTCACAAATAATACATGATGGTCTTGAAGTATAGCTTCTAGGTACTGACGTTGTTTATCATCTTAATTACGTGTTATAGTGTCATTTTCTTTTTCTTTGTAAATTATTAACCTTTACTGTTTAGTCCATTTTTGGTAATATCCTTTTTGTGTGTCTCGGTACTTATGCATCCTACTAATGTGTTGTTGTGCTGTGGTCATTTTTTTGTATTCTTGTCTTTCATTTTGGCTTATGTGCTTTGTCTATATGCTATTTTGTTTTTCTTTGTTGACATATTTATTTGTTTTTATAGTGATTAAGATTATAACACAATGTTGACAGCTGTACCCCTATTTTTGACATTTTTACCTATTATGTCTGTTTGTTTTGTTCACAATTCCATTTTAAACCGGAGTAAACCATGAAAAAACGTTGATGACGTCACGGTCACATGACAAAATTATGTCTATGAGCTGATA